AAGACGCTTTTGTTCGTGTGCGCAAATGGCGGTGCGGCATTGTCATAAGTCCCCTTTTTCCACCACAGTAACAGTCCAATCCATGTGTTTAACACCTGATAAATCAACAGTTATTGATTCTCACTAATCATTGATTTCTAGTCAAAAATGTGACAGTCAGCTTTGTCTAGCCTCCCAACCTTCGAAATTTGAATCGGTTATTTAAGAATAGAAACTTTATAATAGCCACCGAGAAAAATGGGGCCGCGAAAAGCGATCCCCAACCCAATGTCAGGGTCTCTTTTGGGGAACACCACGAGAAGATGTGCGGTCTTGCAGAGAAATCTTTTTGAGATCCGATGTGTCCAAGTGGATCTCTAAGACAAATATACCTTCTACAGCTTGTTAGCTTGTCATATACCTGTCATAACCACTACTACCTGACATTCTAAAAAGCTCCCAACGCGAATCTCTTCGTAGGCCAACCGGTGAAGACCACGCTGACCAACACTATGAAAACTCAGCTGACCTATGATTTGGCAATGGCTTCTTTGTGAGAAACCCCGACTAGCTTGAAATGTGGAACGATAAAACCCTGAGTACGGAGATGCTTGAGATAGGTCATTGCATTCGCGAGCCTTGCAAATAGTTGACAGCTGACGGGTTCAATAATAACGATCAGTAAGTTTAATGCCAATAAAATAGCTAAACTCAGATTTTAGGAAGAATACGTTGCCATCTTCGCTGGAATTTGGACATTTTGAATGAGATTTATGGTTGAGATGGAAGTCCGCCTCATTAAATATGCTTTATTCGGCACTTTATTCGCAAAATACATCAAAATAATTATCAATTAGAAGTTTTCCATATAACCTTGTATTCGGATTTCCTAGACATCAAGGGTCTCGTTGAGGGTTTGAATCAATTGCTAAACAAATTAAATTAAATTCTCTTTAAAACCCCAATCAACCCACCTTGACTTCACCATCGAATTGGCGCAAATGAGGCAAGTAATTCTCAGCAGATGACTCCAACTTGGACTTAATTTTTCTAAACAATAAATGTTTCGTTTCGACATCTGAAAACTTACGTGAATGACTCGTGTTTCTCCTGTAAATCGGCAAAAGTTGATGCGTCCTTGAGAGTTTCTTCTTTCGAAAGCAATTCCTAAAGAAATATCGACTTCAATTGGTTTTATTTGATAAAAATGCCGTTTCAAAGATGTCAATGCCCTGAAGAAGCCCCTTGTGTAGTTCAGGAACCAAATCCTTGTACGTCTTGATAACATTTCTTGACTCTTGTTGAAGTTCCTTCAACATTGGATCAGCCTAAACATATGAAATTAATATGGTACGCCTTTCAATTTCAAACCAACAACGAAGTGCAAAAGATATCTGTTTTTCCAATAACGAAATGGCTTCATGTAAACGATGTTTTTTGTAAGCACAAGCCCCACAAACCTAAAAACCAAAATTGCTTATTCAATATTAGCAATCACTCACTTCAAAGCTACATGCGCTACAGTAAAACATCTTGTCGATAATATTCTAAAATTTCTCTCTATAGAAATCAATTCAATGAGTCATACCTTTTCGTGGCATTCATTGCAGCTACATTCATCTTTGGTATTTCTCGCAGCATGCTTTCATCATTGCCTCCATTTGTCGAGTCATTTCGGGCAGCTCATTTAAAAAGTCTAAAGAAAAATTAGTGAATGGAAAGAGAATTCATCTACCATGAAAACGCTTTTTCTGTTTGTTGACAGCAGTGTACCTAGCATATGTCTCTTTACAAGTTGGACCTTGGATTTGATAGCCATTTGAATAAGACTTCTGACGTGTCTTCAAACAGCATTGCATGCAAATGATATGCCCACATTGAAGAGCAAACGATTTCTTTGCCTCAATTTCATTTGAATCTAAAGCAAAATTTTTTTAAAGCAAGTCATCAAACTTACATTCACCATGACAAATTGGACATTCCGGAATTTTGAAAGGCTAAAAGAATCACTAAGATTTGTAAATCCCAAATCCGACCTTTAGAAGCAAATATCCCATTGGAGTAAACACCAAAGCGCTTTCTTGTGACAAAACATCTAAAACAATACGATTAATTAATCAGTTTTTACTCAAAACAAAAGCATAATAAAACTCACCAATCAAAAAGTAGGCAAAGTCTTCGAAACAGTCACGATTTCCACATTGATGTTTTCTTTCTTTTTTGTCCGAATTAACCTCTTTCACGAAACACTCATCACACATGGTCAATCCACAACCCAAATGAAGTGGAGATCGAGGTTGATCAACAGCTCGAGCAACTGAAAGATTGGCAAATCAAACAAAACCCCACTTTATTTACCCTTTAAAATCTAGATTATTTCGAAAGCCATAACTGAAAAGCAAAAACTTACACGGTTGCTTGCAGACAATGCAGTTCAGCGATTCAAACACATTCATTTCCTAAAAAGAAAGCATTAGAATTATTGAACAATCAACAAAAAATGAACGCAAGAAACAAGTCGACTTAAGAGTTTGTGTGTTGAGGGTGCTAAATTTCCGGGGTAGTTTTATGCGTAGATCCAGAAAACACAACGAGAGCTCAGGAAAATGCGTTTTGAAGCCGAGTTTCAAGGCTTCAAAGTGCGCACTCATACAGTGTGATGATAGGAATACACATAGGAAAAAGGTCTAAAAATGGGCTCTCAGAACATTTTTTGAAGCCAAAAACACTTCCTTTGGCATAATTCAACCTAACCTACTGATTACGTTTATGATCAAATTGGAGCCAGATAAAATTCTTTTTCCAAATTTCGACCATGTGATATCCCACATGAGTCAAAATGGTTCAAAATTTCAAAAAATATTTTTTTTAATTTCTTTTGCCTCTACCCGTCAATTTAAGTTAGAAAATGAATATTTAGTGGTTAAAAAGGGACTAAGACCATACCGCACCGCCATTTGCGCACATGAACAAAAGCGTCTTTTGCGCACACACATTTTCTTTGTTTTATCTGCGCAGCTCGCCATAACTTTCTTCAAAGTGGGCAAATCTTTATGATTGTAGATCTCAACAAATGCAACAAAGTAACACCAAAATCATAAAGATTGGCCCACTTAGAAGAAAGCTATGGCGAGTTGCGCAAAGAAGTTGGCGCAGAGTAGCCCCCCCCCCCCTTTTTACTTTATTAATTTTATTTTCTCAGATATGGATCTCGATGGAAAATCGCTCGAAGGATTTGAGGAATATCGGGCTCGTTGCGAATACGAAGAAGACAGGGAATTCTTCAAAGAACCGCGTGATGAACGAGCCGAACAAGATGTCAATGGAAGCCCGGTCAACGCTTGAAGGATCTTTAAGTGAATTGGATGAGCTACCTACAAAGAAAAAGAAAAAGGTCATTGATGTGAAAACGAAATTGGCTGTTGCAAAGATGGGCAATGATGCTTCGATCAAAGCAGCCGCTGCATTCTATAAGATTGATCGAAAATGTGTGCGTTCTTACATCAAACAAGAAATCGAGCTCGAGAAAGTCCACGGAAAACGCAAGAGACTCAATGGAGCCGGACGCCAGTTGAACTCGGAGGAGATTGATATCGGTTTGGCTGAATGGATACGGGATCGTCGAGCCGAGAAGAAACGAGTGACACGCCGGATTATCTGGAATGAAGCGGCCAATCGAGTCGAAAAAGCTGAAATTTCTTTCAAAAGAAGCCATGGCTGGATGGAGTCGTTCTTGAGGCGCCACCAACTTTCTTTGAGGGCACCAACAACAACTTGTCAAAAGCTGCCGAGCGAATTTGAGAAGGCCATCGTCGAGCACATTCTGAGGCTGAACAAGACAATCAAAGAGGCGATTACAAGCACATTCTTGCTAGCGATGAGGCGGCGGTTTGGCTCGGATGCTTCGACGAGCAAGTGTATCGAAGCGGTTGGAGCCAAAGAAGTTGGTGTTCTCAGCCGCGGCTACGACAAGATGAATATATCCGTGATGCTCATTGCTTGTTCCGATGGGAAAAAGTTGCGCCCTTTTGTCGTGGTGCCTCGAAAAACGATGAACAAAAAAAAATAGACCAAAGTTCCAATCGAAGTTATTGCTCTGTTGGAGGAGAAAAAGAAAAGCAAGTGCTTTGATGAAGAGATCACGGCGAAATACTTGCAACGCTCTTTCGGTGGACTTGGATTCTTTAATAAAAG